GTTTCATGTAAATGAGCTTCTTCAATTTTCCATTAACGAACGCAGTGATTACATTCATATGATGTAATTTCCACCCAAGTGCTACTGAGAGTGAGATTAACGCATGTAGGGTTAACAAGCAATTAATTGGGGCAAACGTTTTGTTCTAATCAACGCCAAACTTTTATTCCAAGCCACGTGCAACCAAAAAAGTTTTTAAGCGTAGAGACATTGGGTCTGATTGAGGTTTTTGCCTTGAACCTCCATTTCGAGAATAAAGCATGTTTACCTTCTAGCAGTGGCACCAGTTTCCAAGTAAGGTTGGCGATGAGAGAGTCAAACTACTCTTGCATTGTTTACTTCCAAAGTGGATTTTGGAGTGCTTGAGTGGCAGTTATTTGATCGTTCACTGGTCATGTAGTCTCAACTATATTGATGAATGTACGTCTTGGTATGTGATAGTTGTCTCCGAGAAATTGTGGTTATCGACGACTTGCTCGTGGAAGATATCTCCTAGGACTAGGTGGTTTAGCACATCGGAGTAGACTTGTATGAGGAGAATCAGGCAGGGAACTGCCGTTTGTAAAGTTACCAACTTGCGACTCATAGTGTGTAGTGGTGCGTTGAGTAAATTGCAATTTGAAGTAACAATCGACTCTGATTATGGTAATATTGGATCTGTGAGGTCATCCTCGGCATCAAAGCCACTGAAGAGGTCTACAAAATTCTGGGCATCCACAAAATTTCCAGGAATGTGCTCAAAGAATGTAACGTCGTTTCTAGTAACGATGCAACAAGCTAACGGATCCTGGCATCTATAAGCTTTAGATTCATCATCGTAGCCAACTAGCAGACAACGTTTTGCCTTGGGCTGAAGCTTCGTCCGCTTATCAGAGGGAATGTGCACATATGCAGTGCACAAGATTACTATTAGAAGTGTTAAATCAGGTGGAACGTCATATAATCTTTCATGTGGCGTAGTCGGATTTAATGCACAGGTTGCACAACGATTTAGAACATAGTTAACAGCTCTCAAAGACTCTATCAAGAATTGAGCCGGAAACTTGAAGGTATTGAACATACGAAGAACTGCTTCAAATAGAGTTTGATTTTTACACTCAGAGATGTCGTTTTGATGAAGAGTTGCTGCTGTAGTCAATTGTGAAGCAATACCTTTTTGTTGACAATAGCTTTTGAAGTACTCATAAAGCTATTCACCTCCTATGCCACTGTGAAGAGACGATACTTGTGGTGATCAATTGTGCTCGGTGTGTCACACAACAACAACTTTATGTGGATAGAGATTTTCCGCAAGCAAGACAAATTGCTTAAAGTGATAGAAAGTTTCACTTTTTAGGCAAAGAAACCGAACCCAAGTAAATCGTCAGTGAAGGTCAAAAGTTACTTGAAGTCAGTACCCGCTTCTACTATACCACACAAATCGATGTGAACAAATTTCAAAGGCCGTGTAGTTTTTTTCTACTTTGTTTGGATCTTCGAGTCTTGTGCTCCTTCACGAGCACACATGCTTCACACTGATAATTTTTGCCAATGGCGAGCATAAGAAGGCCATGAAAAAACCCTTAGAAGTCATGTGGTAGGCTGTCTAGTGTCGAATATGACACAAACACTTGTGCCACAGATCAATGGCATCAGAAGATGTACTCTCTGAATCAGAGGGATCCTCTATTAGAGCCACAGAGGTGGGATCTTCTAACATGTCATACACTCCTTCTGCATCAAGAGGAGCTTAAGCACATGTCGAAGTGATTGCACGTTGACTCTATGCAGCTTGGGAAGTAGTCTGTACAATTTGGTGTGCAGGTCACGTCAAACATATGTATATGGCCGACGTGACATCTCATTCTTGCTTACTGCCTGCGCCTGACTCTAGAGTTCTTGTTGTAGACCCCGGTGGAGTGCTTGGCCTGGCTTCGACCCCTTCCATGATGTCCATCAGTCCTTCCAGATGAAGGATTAAACTGATTTTCCCCTTCCATGCAGCATGGAAGTGTTCCCCACTGAATTTGGGGAGAAGGAGGTCTTTCCATGCGAACCGAGTTGAAACCCCAAGAGAGTCATCTCCCTGAACTCGAACTATACTTTGTGCTGAGCTTCACGTTCTGCCGAAGTGAATCTTCAAAGAACAAATCTTTGAACTCTGAACTCTAAGCCCTAACGCTCTGATACCATAACAGAAGTGAGGCAATACAAGGAAGAGTCGAGAGACACAGGTACCGAGTCCTGGAGAGCAGATCTTAGTTAATGGGGAGAGAACCCGGATAGGGAATATATACCCAACCGTGATAGTCCGAGAGATACAGAAACCCTAGTGGACAACTGTTGGTCGTGACAATCTGTCACGACCACGACTATAGTACAAAGTACATACAGCAAAGAACGTGAGTGTACGGAGGTCCAAGAAGTGAGTAGTAATACGACTTCTAACAAGATGTTACTGAGATTGGTCTCATTGATTACAAAGTAATGAGCAGTAGTGAAAAGCACAAAATGCCCCGAATCAGTTAGTTTACCTACGGATAGCAAGCTTTTCGTAAGACCAAGCACGTAAAGTATAGGCTTTATCTCTTTATTTGCATCAACATGTAATGTACCTTTGCCAACAACAACTAGACGAGTTCCATTGAGGGTGGAAACTCCAGATCGAGAAACTGTAGGTTGAAATGAACTAAGAGTAGTTTTGTCACCGGTCACATGACTACTTGCACCTGTATCTAAGAGATAATTTTGAGATTTTCTAATTGCAATATTGGCTTCTAAGTCTACTGATTCATAGTCCGCCAAGTTATCTCCACTATCATCTTGTTCTAGAACAGCGTTAGCTTGTACCTTAACACGCCGCATGTTGGAGGCCCTGAGCTGGAGCTGTGAAATCATCTCGTCTAGTTTTTTGAAATCACAATCTTGTTCCCAGTGATTAAATCTATTACAGTAGTTACATCGAGTATTTGATTGAGTTGACCCGTTAGAGATACTCCCTCTAGTTCAAAAATATTGTGTGGTACTTTGTTCGGAAGACGACCTTGAGAATTGCGGCTTGCGGGAGAACTGAGAGATGGCATCTCTAGAATCTTACTCCTGATGACTGTCAATCCAGGTACTGTCAATTTGCAAGCGCTGCACGAGATCAGTAAAGCCTGGTGGTGGTACGTCGGAAAGATCACTACTAAAGTTCGAGACAAATGGAGCCCAAGACAAGGGGAGACTCTTAAGTGTATAGTTAATATAATCACTATCAGAAGGATGATGTCCAATCGCTGAGAGCTGTGTTTTGAGAGTCTGGATGGTTCTGAAGATAGACATGGACTGTGACAAGAGCACAAAGCTTGACACTAGCCAATTTTTCAGTTAGCATAAGACGTTGCTAAGCATTATTCGACTGATAGAGAGTGCGCAGATAAATCCACAACTGAGAGGTATTGTCCTCATATTCAGCAGTAGATGAAAGGATATCAAGTGATATACTAGCCTGTTTCATTGCAATGAACTTAATTCGCCGGCGTCAAATAGTAACATCATCAGCACCGCCAAGGGGAGCCGGATCGTGAACAGTGCCTTCGTATACTCCTTTGTCTCTCAGCATCGTCTTCAAACAGATTGACCAATTCATGTAGTTGAGTCGCCCAGTGAGTTTCTCCTCGTGGCGTAACGTGAAAGCAAAATTGTATTGAAATTCTTCCATGGCGGCTGGAAGGACGCACTATCTAGTGAAATACTACAAAGCAACTGCTAGTGGAGTAACAAGAAAATTTGTTATTACTATCACAAATTTTCAGCCACCAAAGGATTGACAGAAAGCTCTGATACCATACTGTGAGTTACAGACATTATATTTACTGAAGAGAAGGCAACATTTAAATAGCTGCTCACGGACACATGCTGAGTTCAGCGATGCTCTCAGACCTAAAATGTATGGCTTGGATGAACAACAATAACTAATCGAAAGGATAAGAGTATAAGGAGAGTATCTTTATACTAATGCTAAAGTTAGCCTCGCTGAGATATTAACCGCATCTTACAACACTCAGACGGAGTACAAGCCATGAATTATCATCAGCCAGAGAGTTTCATGAGTTTTAGAACATGCTTGTATAAATTGTTAGATCTATTTGAGATATAATCAAGGTAGATATGGGCCTATAATGAATCATGGTGATTTGCATTTGAACAAATGTTCATGTGCTTGACTCAAAAAGAAGCTAGAAGTTTGTCTCCATCTGTGACTCAGAGTTTATTGTCAACCAAGCCAGCTGCAGTTGGTCCAAGTTTCGTTTCGATTATTTTTGTGCAATTTTCTAAGCACATGCATCAAACATCACACCACAATGATCTATCAACCACATTAGCCATGAGGTTGGATTCCAAGAAGGTGATTCTGGTTCTCGACCTGTTCCACCTGAATCTGCTGGTTCTGAGACTCCCAGTAACCACTGAGGCTTTATTCTTGGAACTTTGCAGCTTGCAATGATTTTTTGAGTGGTTCAAAGAGAAATTGTAGAGCAGATTTTCAGTAGTAATGTCCCACAGTCCACGAATCCTCGTCCAGGAGTAAGACTAGAACTTTCTGATCTTTGATGAGTCTGATCCTTACTGAAATGCGCCGTCAATCGGCAAGTGGGTGGAGCTGCAACAAGACGCATGCATCGTATCCACGGCCTCAACTGCCTTGGAAACGACCGAATGCCCGTCTGTGTCTGCGAATTGAGAGCGGAAGCTGATGATGATGTGTGAAATGCAGACGCAACACACCAAAATCCTTCTCTGCAATAACATAACCTTGAAATCCAATTATGCAGACCTTGTTAAATTCTTGATCTGATTTTTTCATATGGGGACATTGCAAAGGATGGTACGACTCAGTTTGACGATTCATTTCCCAAATCATTGCACTATCGTACGGGACCCCACGTTTCTGGCCAGGAACCTACGTCTATTCAAGAGCAGGTACATTGTCACTCGTGTGTAAGGAGGGTGATGGATGATGCCACAAGTTCTTATACTCCCATCTCGTACATTACATTACACAATGCCTCACTCCAAGTTTATAGCTGTGCTGCTGTACGTCCCCGACGGCGTCAGTCGGATGAATGTTGCATCCAAATGAATGAATGAGGCTCAATTGATCACACACGTTCCGTCCCTCACACCACTTTGCACCGTGCTGTCCATTTAAGCGAGTGCATCGTGATCGAGCAGCTTAGCTATCACTGTCTTTCAGTGGACGCTGGGAGCTGACAATCGATTGATCATCATGGCAAGTTGCGCAGTTGGTGGCGCCAGTGGTGCAAGTGGAGTGAGATCCAAGGCTCCGTGGCGCCGGAACTTGAAGTTTGCAATGCTCCTCATCACGATTCTTCTCCTGCTCATGAGCATCGTTCATGTTTTGGTGCAGCCGTCCGTCTACTTCCATGAGAAGGTTGGATCGCATCACCTGCCGGTACAGATCTTTCTGCTCGTGTCCTGTTCCAGTTCTGGCCGCATCACCTTTCAGCTCTGCAGCCAGAGTGGCTATCTGTGCTTCCCTGATATTCATCACCTTGAATTCAAGAGAATTTCTAATCCGGCGTCTTACTTGGAATATTTACTCACTGCAGCATCTGGCGGCGTATGGTGGCGTCAAGGCGTTCATAGTCTGCCCTCAAGAAACAAAACTACACTCTCATGAACACGGTGGACGCTCCAGTGAAACCTTCAACACGCTGTCGGCGAGATGCGCAGTACGATCGACAATCTAGCTTTCGTCCGTGTCCATAAGATGGAGCTAAACGTCACATCCCCTTCAGATCATATACATTTTATGCTTTCTATTTTGCAGCATCAATCGTTTGGTCGTCCAGCACCGTCCAGTACTTGCTCCCGATACCAGCTACGTCTCGTTCTAATGTGCTTTTCCACTGCCCATTCTTTCGTGTCCTGCATGCATCTCTCTACCGTCACGTGCTTGTGCCAATCACCGAATACTGAGGTCTTGCAATTTCGGACATTATGGCTTATTTTCAAGGACTACTGCTACCACTACTGCGTGCACATCTCTGATCTTCAGATTTATGTACTCCTATCAGATATGAGTCGAGACTCTTTATCACGACCAGTACTGAACACTTGCATCTGTCGTCTGTAGGCACTTTCTCGGACTTTGCAAACTTCCAAAAACATCATTAACAAGATTCTTCTCGTCAACACCGAGCACATCGATGTGGGCACGAAGTTTGCAGATATAGGCGACTCTCTCGATAAGGTAGTCATTCAATGTAGCAAGCTGTGGTATCTCATTGCAAGCAGTTATGATTTACGTAATCCATCTTAGAGCTCCATATAATAGCACGGGTCTTTCTGATATCGTTTCTTTACTCCTATTCCGGTGCCCATGCGCCAGTTCGGTCCCTTCTTGGAGTTCTAATTGGATTGATGAGAGATATTATTTCACGAATCTTTCTATGCAATGGTCGTGTCTTTGAGACTGATCCTACTCAATGCCTGTCTGTGTTCAGATTGAAATCTTGACAGCACTTCAAACTCAATTCAATGTCACACTAAGTGAAGACATTGTACCCAAGATATCCACAGTCGGAGAAGTTGTTGCTCTTATCGAACAGTTAAGGTATAACAAGATCTCCAGGGCCAACACCTAATGCATGTATCGTACCTGGAAGCAGTTCCGATTCGATTTCCTTCAGTTGCCAAATTTTGGAATTGTTTGGGCTGTTCTACACAAACTGAAGTCCAATAATATTTAAAGCCTTTTCATATGTTGGACAGATCTTTAGCTTAGGAAGCTGTTCTCGTTCTAGGGACCTTTGTTTTCCTCGTTCAATCTGTACAGATTACCCGATAACCTTTGATTTGATGTGAACTCGTCACAAAAAGGAAATATTTAAGTGATTCAACCTCAAGTGATTTAAGTGATTTCTCAAGATTCTCCATTCTGAAAATCCATCCATGCGTATAACAGGATGTGCTAGACGTCTGCTACCAGGGTCTAGTCATTTCATGCAAAAATGGCTCACTCGCATGTGTATTATATTTGACAATATCTTATACCACTGAATGTATGGAGAAGTGGATGAGTAAATGGAGATTGGGCATCTAATCGAATGAGATAAAATTCAAGTTAAGCAATTATGAAAAACATTTACCTTATAAATATAATATTATTTTAAGTTTTACATGTATGCACACTGTTTATACCATTGTATTCAAGTTTAGCCTCAAAGAAAAATTTGATTTATAGCTTTAGACTTTCAGCACAATATTTTATCTTTAAACTAAAATAAGATGCATGTAACTTTTGTCAGAATTTGATTTCAAAGAACTATAGATCTTGATCCAAGAGAGAGGCAACGTGATTAAAGTTTTTGGGAAAGTAGGTTTCTAAATGGGTATAGATCAAGTCAGGAGAGGAGATGGTTGAAAAAATTACAACAGAAAAGTAGGCTGTGATACATCAGTACAAATGTAGCACAATTCATCTTTTTAAATTTGCTATAGCATATGCTTTTAATAATTGCTATCTCTCTGACGCAAGATGGCAATCCTGTTCATTAACAAAATGTATTATAATGAGGACGAATTTAACAGATGAGATGCTTCAATGCTTCTTGTTAATTACATGTTTGTAGTTTATACAGATATGTATCAGTTCAGCTTTAAATTGATACATATCATCATATAAGAAATTTCCATTATCCATAACACATCACCAAAAGAAAAGGTGTCACATTTGACATTCGTTATCTATTTAAATTCAAATATCAACATGCTAATTACTAAAGTTTGTTTGTAAATTGGAAGTTTTACTCAAGTTTACATGTGAATTTTTAAAAAAATTTCAATGAATCTAAAACGAATATTCTGATTCAAGTGGTCGAAGTATTTTCTCACACTGTTACAGAAATCTTACATTAATGAAATTTCATGAAAAATCCAATATATATCAAAAAGTTATTCTTTGATAGATGTTGGAGTAACTTTTACAAAACAAGTATCAGGAGTTGCTATTTTGTTTTTCTTTAATTATATCACTTAAAGAACTTAAAGAGACTTAATTTTGGTAAAAAATTCAAAAAAGTGCTTTCTCATCGAGCTTAATCAAGGTAGTGATCGAATTTTCTGTTTGAATCTAAATGAATATTTATGGCAATACATTTGACCAAATATTGAGATAATGAATAAAAAAAACTTGCAAACCGATGTACGCTGCATATTCCGAGTTGGGTATGGCTTCTAGATGACATGGAAACAAAAAACTTATAAGGATGGAGGGGAAGGGTTGAAGAAATGGTTCAGAGTATGTATACAATCAAGAGCTTGAAGTTGATGAAATGTAAGAGTCTAGATTTAACTTTGAAATATAGAAGATCAAGAAGGCCTCAGTTCACACTTTTTTCAGCACTTCTAGTTATGCTACTTTGACTCTTATGTTCAGGTATGAGATTAGAGGCAACCCAATTTCAATATCTTTCCCTATGGCTACTTCACTTCTCAAAAATATGACATGATAAAGCATATTTTTAAAAAAACAAACAAAAACGTTTAGAACATAATTATTTTCAGTATATTAATCTCTCTTTCCAAAGTTAAAATACTTATCTTAACGTGATACTTTTTTCCCAGCAATCTTTTGTCTCTTTATATCTAGCACAAGCATTAGAATTGTACTATATTTAGAGTTGTTAATTCCAAATCAAACTTCCTACAATGTAGATCTAATCCTTCAAGAGTATTATAAAACAAACAAAGTTTTAGACACTTTAGCAAAAAGTGGTTGCAAACTTTTTTCACATCCGTGAACTTGCCATTCTATTTTTTTTGGTATCAATACTTATTGGTCGATGCTGCAATTTTTTGTGCGAATATGTATTGCCATACAACTTACATCGCTTACATGCCATAATCACACACATATATAGGGAACAAGATCGTACCCACACAAATGTATCACAATTGAATTAATATGTGAAGACCCCATTGATCTTCATCCACGAACCATCACAATTGAATCAAGCCAAATCCATTACTTGGAGAATAAAGATTGATGTTTATGGGACATGGACCTACTAAACATTAAGCCCTCTCGCGTAAGTTTCAACTCAAAGAATTGAACGTTCTTTGGGTTCACGTGACTATATGCTCCTAGGACACTAATGCCTAACCCTAATACAACACTAAACAACAACTAACATACATTTACATGACAGATATTGTGTGAATATGTATCGTCATACAACCTACATCGCTTACATGCCATAATATCACATATATATATATATATATATATAGGGAACGAGATCATACACAGACAAATGTATCACATCTCAGCCCCTAGCTTGAGTATTCATACCACGTCACCAATAGTGACCAAGGAGTAAGTTGTGTGTATGCTTCACTTCAAAATGTCCCAACTCCTCATAAGCATGTCGCAGGATGTGCGCTCTCTAAGCTAGATGCGTTTCTACTCGTACTGTAAAGTGCTCCCACACTCGGAGAAGATGTGCTTCCTCCAATCGGTATCTCTTTCAACTAGGCAGAGTTGAAAGAGATACCTGCAGATCTTCTCATCCACCTCATCATGTCATCTAGCTCCAATGTCATCCTCCTGTCTAGTGCATGGATTCAAACTAAAATCATTGGCATCAAGATTTACAACTTTAGGTCTATGCATCACATAAAAGTCATACTCCTGTAAAATGAGAGCCCACTGTGCAAGCTTTTGTGTGAGCTTGTCGAACTCTATCAACCACTTGAGTGTTGATGTTCAATGACAATGGTAAACTGCATGTCAAACAAGTAACATCTGAAATGTGCCACAACCCACACTGCTCCCAAACACTCTCCCTTGCACAAACTATCCCGCGACTCCGCTGCATTGTCTGAACGGCTAGCATATACAACTATAAACTCCTTACCTTCATCATCACCTTGCGTCAACACCGCTTCAAGTCCCGACATACTCCAATCAGTGTGCAACTGGTATGGGCAAACTCTAATGGATCTCCTTAAAATAGAAGCGACCATCAACTTGGTCTTGAGCTCAACAAAAGCCCTCTCTTGTTCATCTCTCCATTGCCACATCTAATACGACTTCAGGAACTGGTTCAAAGGCTTGGCTATAGCATTAAATCCTTTCACATACTTCTAGTAGTAGTTTGCCAAATCCATAAATACAAAAATTATACTTGCATACGTTGGACGAGGGATGCGTGCAATAGTCTTAATCACATGAGTAGATCACATGACCCAAGTACTCAACACTCTCTTGGAAGAACTTACACTTCCCCGGATGTAAAGGCAGATCATGAACCTTCAATCTCTTAAACATAATCTGCAAATGTATTTGATGTTGTTCAACCAAGTCTCTAAACATCATGATATCATCAATGTAACACTTGACAAAATCGAGCTCAGCTAAGATCTTGTCCATAATACTCAAAAACTCGACAAAATCATTCTTCAATCCAAAGTGTAAGAATCTTCATTGATTCAAACAATGAAAGTTGATGCTCCAAAATGTTATCTTGGTCTTGTACTCCTCTCGAATCAACAATTGATGATATATTGTTTGAAGATCCAAAGTACTGAAAATCCTCGCATGTCCCATCACATCAAAGATCTCATAAGATGTAGGCATGACATATTTATCGTACTTAGTCTGCCGATTGATAGGACAATAATCTTCACACATTTGCATATCCATGTAGTTGCCATGTACATCGTTTTTCACCGGCATGACAATGGCTAACACATACTCACCATGTGAAAACTCCACTGATTCAGACTCCAGTAATTCCAACGTGCTACTTTGAATCAATTACCTATTCATATCACTATATCGATAGGGACAACGAAAGATTGAGGTATCACTTGCCAACTCTATCCGTATGCCTAGTCCAATAAAGGCATCCATCTCCTTCATGTCAAAAATAAAACAATTCTTATACACATAAGAATTGCGTCAACCGTCGTTTATCTTCTCCTATAATTTGAGAACCAATCAATGGCTTCCAATCCTTCTATATATGCACACTAGAGAGAGACGATGCTCTCATTGGTTGCTATGCCACATTCTTCAAAGAATCGGTACTCTACTTTGATTTAACCTTCATGTAAAAAACTTCTTCAATTGGATGAGCTGCAACTATAGTAGGCCCTCTCGTCACGTTCCAAGAACTCTGAGAATTTTTGCTTGTTGCCCCAAGCCATTGTCTCTATTGCTTTTAGTATGCAATGAGCTAACAAGTGGTGTGAAAATCACCAAAATAGAGCAAAGACGCAATTGTTCAGCCAAATCCAGGCTCATAATCCAAGTTAGATAATTTAAGTTCATAACCTGATCCAAAATCTGACGACGTGATGCCTCTGAAACTGAAAGAGCCGCAATCACACCAGTCATGAATTCCATTGTATGCTCTCTCTCATCAGCGTTGAGTTCCACCAATTGATGCATTGTAGAATCCCATACAAGACCAAGTCCACCATCCCAATAGGCATGTGATGCAAAAACTAACCAAGTGGGTAAAGTCATTCGAGGCTGACCTACGCGGTTCACCAATGCCATATGCCAATTCCTAACTTGTTAGGAATTCTCACCACCTGAAAACATCGCAAAATGTCCAATTAATTGTCAACAGTGAATGTAGGATCACGCTGCACAGAATCATAAGCACGGCGTAATCTCTTCCGTGGCAAAAGGTTTGTCCACCATAATTGTGAATGATGAGCACGTGATTCAACCCTCCCAAAATCCAACAATACGACTGATCCAATCCATGATCTAATATCATGAACACTTGCCATCAAGTGGGTTCAAGTGTCAACTAACAATGGCACGTTCTATAGAATATATGCTGGATGACGTGCTTGCTACACCAAGAGATGACGTAACACACGTAATATCTCCCAAAACATCCGAGATCTAGAGTCATGCAATCCTGCTCTATGATCAACACGCGCAACCCTATCATGGCAATCTCGCAAT